TACTAAAGGACTTAAGCACAATAAGATTTTAAGTACTGGCTTATGAATTATTACTGTTTTTATATTTAGTTTGTTGTTTTTCATTTATATCCAAATTTTTGATAGTCAGAGATTCCACTGCGAAATTTGATAAATAATGTGTTAATGACAAAATGTATTTTTGAACACTATACTCTTATCAAAATTCACAATGGTTGTCATAGTCATTTTAGTCCAAAGTTCGAAAAAACATGCAAAAATTACGAATATAGAAAATGTTTTGTTTTCGAATGGGTGTCCTGAAATTCAGTTCCAATCATACATATATAGGGTGATTCTACATAAGAAACCATGAAAATTTATGTGGACATAGATCCGAAAATTCGTAGTTTTTAAGGTATATGGGGTAATTCTTTTAAATTAGATTTTTTATAAATTTCATTGATATCTTTACTTCATTTTTTTACAATTTGGCAGTGTTGTTTATACGTTCTTTGGGACGCCAATGAACTTAATAATTTTCATCCAGTTGAAGCTAAATTGGCCTCTTATTACTTTATACAGCAATGCCAAATTTTAACAAAATCGGATACAGGATATTATTGATATTTATAAACAAAACTAATTTAGAAACAGTTTGGATTTCCGAACCTATATTTAAATTAAGAAATTTTTATGTTTTCTTATATAGAATAACTCCTAAAAATATAGGAACTAAATTTCACAGATTCGAAAAAAGGGGAAATTTCCTACGAGTATATTCCCCATAATAATACAGTGGTTAAAAAGAGATTTTGTCATTAACAATATATTCACAAATTTAGAATTATCAGTGTTTGATGCATGATGCAATTACTTTTCCAAAGGCTTTGGTGCTTGCTGCTTGAAGCACTTTCTTCAAGTGCTTCGCCCAGCTCTAGTTAAAACTAATTATTACTATTGCTATTCTATGTATTTTTCATTTAAAATTTAATCTATTTTATTATACATTTCCTCATCATCAATAATTTCATAATATTCAATAAGAGAATGGAACCTCAGAATAAATAACACATCAATTTTATTATAAAATTAATACAAGTGCGACTAGTTTCGGCCTCTCAGGGCCATCTTCAGGTCTGTAATACTGTAATACAATAATCCTTAATTATTAATTAATACGATTAAAATTAAATACATAATTGACAGAAGGTATAAATCACTAAATTGGAGCTATATTGTATCGCTAAAGTATCGTAGAAAAAAGATGTGGAATTGGAAAAATAGATGGGTATTGCAAAATTAACTAAAAAGAAAAATGGGTACAAGATCAACAAGAGTAGAGATGAGAATGAGCAACCAAGAATGCATTTAAAATGTAACCTCTCGAAATGTAAGGATGGATCTTGCTCAGTCAGTAGTAGGAAGGGTAGAAACCGGACAGACAAACAAACAGACAACGGACAAACGGACGGACGGTCGGACGGTCGGACTGTTGGACGGTCGGACGGTCGGATGGTCGGACGGTCGTACGGTTGAACAGTCGGAAAGTTGGACGGTCGAACGGTCGGACGGTCGGACGGTCAGACGATCGGACAGTTGGATAGACGGAAGGAATAACAGACTATTGAACTAACGGACTAATGGGCTAACGGACTAACGGACTAACGGACTAACGGACTAACGGACTAACGGACTAACGGACTAACGGACTAACGGACTAACGGACTAACGGACTAACGGACTAACGGACTAACGGACTAACGGACTAACGGACTAACGGACTAACGGACTAACGGACTAACGGACTAACGGACTAACGGACTAACGGACTAACGGACTAACGGACTAACGGACTAACGGACTAACGGACTAACGGACTAACGGACTAACGGACTAACGGACTAACGGACTAACGGACTAACGGACTAACGGACTAACGGACTAACGGACTAACGGACTAACGGACTAACGGACTAACGGACTAACGGACTAACGGACTAACGGACTAACGGACTAACGGACTAACGGACTAACGGACTAACGGACTAACGGACTAACGGACTAACGGACTAACGGACTAACGGACTAACGGACTAACGGACTAACGGACTAACGGACTAACGGACTAACGGACTAACGGACTAACGGACTAACGGCCTAACGGACTAACGGACTAACGGACTAACGGACTAACGGACTAACGGATTAACGGATTAACGGACTAACGGACTAACGGACTAACGGACTAACGGACTAAAGGACTAACGAACTAACGGACTAACGGACTAACGGACTAACGGACTAACGGACTAACGGACTAACGGACTAACGGACTAACGGACTAACGGACTAACGGACTAACGGACTAACGGACTAACGGACTAACGGACTAACGGACTAACGGACTAACGGACTAACGGACTAACGGACTAACGGACTAACGGACTAACGGACTAACGGACTAACGGACTAACGGACTAACGGACTAACGGACTAACGGACTAACGGACTAACGGACTAACGGACTAACGGACTAACGGACTAACGGACTAACGGACTAACGGACTAACGGACTAACGGACTAACGGACTAACGGACTAACGGACTAACGGACTAACGTACTAACGGACTAACGGACTAACGGACTAACGGACTAACGGACTAACGGACTAACGGACTAACGGACTAACGGACTAACGGACTAACGGACTAACGTACTAACGGACTAACGTACTAACGGACTAACGGACTAACGGACTAACGGACTAACGGACTAACGGACTAACGGACTAACGGACTAACGGACTAACGGACTAACGGACTAACGGACTAACGGACTAACGGACTAACGGACTAACGGACTAACGGACTAACGGACTAACGAACTAACGGACTAACGGACTAACGGACTAACGGACTAACGGACTAACGGACTGACGGACTAACGGACTAACGGACTAACGGACTAACGGACTAACGGACTAACGGACTAACGGACTAACGGACTAACGGACTAACGGACTAACGGACTAACGGACTAACGGACTAACGGACTAACGGACTAACGGAATAACGGACTAACGGACTAACGGACTAACGGACTAACGGACTAACGGACTAACGGACTAACGGACTAACGTACTAACGTACTAACGGACTAACGGACTAACGGACTAACGGACTAACGGACTAACGGACTAACGGACTAACGGACTAACGGACTAACGGACTAACGGACTAACGGACTAACGGACTAACGGACTGACGGACTAACGGACTAACGGACTAACGGACTAACGGACTAACGGACTAACGGACTAACGGACTAACGGACTAACGGACTAACGGACTAACGGACTAACGGACTGACGGACTAACGGACTAACGGACTAACGGACTAACGGACTAACGGACTAACGGACTAACGGACTAACGGACTAACGGACTAACGGACTAACGGACTAACGGACTAACGGACTAACGGACTAACGGACTAACGGACTAACGGACTAACGGACTAACGGACTAACGGACTAACGGACTAACGGACTAACGGACTAACGGAATAACGGACTAACGGACTAACGGACTAACGGACTAACGGACTAACGGACTAACGGACTAACGGACTAACGGACTAACGGACTAACGGACTAACGGACTAACGGACTAACGGACTAACGGGCTAACGGGCTAACGGGCTAACGGACTAACGGACTAACGGACTAACGGACTAACGGACTAACGGACTAACGGACTAACGGACTAACGGCCTAACGGCCTAACGGACTAACGCACTAACGGACTAACGGACTAACGGACTAACGGATTAACGGACTAACGGACTAACGGACTAACGGACTAACGGACTAACGGACTAACGGACTAACGGACTAACGGACTAACGGACTAACGGACTAACGGACTAACGGACTAACGGACTAACGGACTAACGGACTAACGGACTAACGGACTAACGGACTAACGGACTAACGGACTAACGGACTAACGGACTAACGGACTAACGGACTAACGAACTAACGGACTAACGGACTAACGGACTAACGGACTAACGGACTAACGGACTAACGGACTAACGGACTAACGGACTAACGGACTAACGGACTAACGGACTAACGGACTAACGGACTAACGTACTAATGGACTAACGGACTAACGTACTAATGGACTAACGGACTAACGGACTAACGGACTAACGGACTAACGGACTAACGGACTAACGGACTAACGGACTAACGGACTAATGGACTAACGGACTAACGTACTAACGGACTAACGGACTAACGGACTAACGGACTAACGGACTAACGGACTAACGGACTAACGGACTAACGGACTAACGGACTAACGGACTAACGGACTAACGGACTAACGGACTAACGGACTAACGGACTAACGGACTAACGGACTAACGGACTAACGGACTAACGGACTAACGGACTAACGGACTAACGGACTAACGGACTAACGGACTAACGGACTAACGGACTAACGAACTAACGGACTAACGGACTAACGGACTAACGGACTAACGGACTAACGGACTAACGGACTAACGGACTAACGGACTAACGGACTAACGGACTAACGGACTAACGGCCTAACGGACTAACGGACTAACGGACTAACGGACTAATGGACTAACGGACTAACGGACTAACGGACTAACGGACTAACGTACTAACGGACTAAAGGACTAATGGACTAAAGGTCTAACGGATAAACGGACATACGAAAATTAAACAAACACATTTTCTGGCTCTCGACAACAGTCCTACCTACTGGATCCAACTATAGCTAAGTACCTTCAAAAATGGTCAAACCGTTTAGGAAAATAATAACAAACACACGTACACTGGAATTTTATATATAAACATATACAAATAATACATTCAAATTTTGCTCCTTCCTTTAAATCAAATTACTTACGGAATTTGTAACACCAAGTAGATTTGTTATTTTGATTGACATTTGGATTGAACTTTTATAGTTCGACTTGTATATTACCATAATTCTAATTGTATGTTAATAATATAATTTTTCCAAATTTCGATCTACGTCCTCGTCGTACAGTTATATGCGAGCGGTTATCACAATAACTGATTTTCGTATTAATTTTGATCGGAGCAAAAATGTTGTCTACCAGAAAACATCGTAGTGATAAGAAAAAGGGTGAGTTTCATCTGAACCGATTTTAATTTTTTATTAAACATTTTTATGCTAGAAAAAATACCTAATTTGGAGATAATACTACTGAGGCCCTTACCTATAGGGCCTCAGTATTGCATTCGAGTCTATGTGGAAATTTTCTTACCTTAATTTTTTTACACTTTCCACGTTTCCCACCACTCCAAAAACGCAAAAAATGTCTCGTCTGGTCATCTTTGTGTCCACATTATGTTAAGGCTTAGATCGACTTGCGGTTTTGATTTTACTTTTACTATTTCTTCCAGCCGAACACCCATTGATTTTCAGGACTTCCGTTTTAACATTAGTGCTTTAAATATCACTATTTTCAAGTGTAATGCATTTTTTTAAAGCTTATTTTTCCACTTGGTAGCGACGTTAGCGGGGTGGCGAAGAAAGTATTCGTTCCGGGCATAAAAGACAGGGGGCTTATTCTACATTTCTATACCAATGTTTTATACTTTTAGGCATAAATATTTTCAAATTGCACTCGTACAAAACATTAATTATAAAATACAATATAATTTGACAAAATTAATTTTAATTAATTAAATTGTTAACATAAATTTAATTATCTGTAAAATTATATTTATATAAAATGTACATGTACATATTATGTAAAAATGACAAGAAAACACTAAAGATTGTAATTTCTAAACCAATTCTGTAAATTATTTGTTTACAACTAAGTGCTCAAAATTGATACAAAACATGTATTAGATAAAATGAAAACTACGCCATACTTCGCCCAGTGAAATACGCTTTTCGTCGTCTGATTTACATATGGATAAGCAATATATATAACTATGAATATCATTGGGTGTGAGACACCACATGTGCTCTGTGGAAAATTATAAAATTTATAAAATTTCTTTACTAACGAATCAAATCCATGTTTCCGAAGTAATGTGTTTGTACATCCACTGATGAAACAAGTTTTTTTGATAATGATATTATGAAAATAATTCGAATTATTTTCATAATATCATTATTAAAAAAACTTGATGCATCAGTGTCCGTTATTTACCAATAAATGACATACAACTTCAATAAATCCTTCCCATAAAGTTCACATTTTTGTCACCAGTTGGCGTTAAAGTCATGACGCACGGTCCCTTTATATTAGGCATTTCAACGACTTGTCAAAAAGCTGAAAAGTGGGAACTGACCATGGTTCGTAGACAACACGGTGGCCTTGTCGTCCGTTGCTAAAGTGCTGCTACTTTTCTGCTGCTTGAAGTAGGATTCAGCTCAACATGACCTAATATTGCAACCTGTGCAGCCTCGTTAGTAACAGTTCATGATTTTTGTTAGCAACGGTTTCGGTCTCCATGAATTTAGTTATCACATTTACTTTGTAGGAATGGCTGAGGTTCTTACAAGGATGCCTTTCATTGAAAAGTCTTGCGGGCCCTTTTATTATTGCTAAAATAGAGTTTGATCATTTCATTTCGTTCTGCTGTGGTATAAACCATGATTTGGATCGTTTACTTCAAGATAGCGGATAATAACAAATAAGCGAATTTCTCTACATTACACTCACTAGACAATATATGTGATTAGTGTAAAATCAGATTGCAACTACCTATAAAACCGTAAAAATAAATCAGTCTCACATTATCAAGGCTTCGCTAATGTTTTGCAGTTGTGTCGATATTATTTTTTTTATCGGTTTATTTCACCGACACTCCCAACAGATGTTCTACATTAATTTTAACACATAACACAAAAATTACCCCTCGTGCCATTTAGTATTCTTGATTTCCCAAAAAAAAAAGTTTTAGGAAAATATTTCAGATGGACTGCTTTAACTGGGCCACCCTGTATAAAAGTGTGTAGTGATTCATATGGGAAAAAATTATAGGTTAACTTATAGAATTAATTATCACCTGCTGAAGATAAGGGACTGTCGAACAAAATTTAATAAAACCTATGTGAGACTTGTATTCGCTCCGTGCGAAGTCATGGAAAGGGAAGCAAAAGCGATACTAGCGCTAGCTGCGGATAATTCGTGCATTTTAGGGCGATATTTTAGGTTTGTTCCAACATAAACCAAATCAGTTTGCGTACTGTCGGGATTCTGCGCAGTCTAGAATTCGTGTTCCAACAAACCTTAGACTCAAAACTGTACAAAAACATAGTGTTCCAACACAACCAAAACTAATCACAAACCGATTTGTGTACTGTCAAATCAGTTCCTGAGTCTGAATAGGAACGAATTGTCAAGACATGCGCAAAGCCGCAATAAACTGAACGTTTCGTGATTGTAATTATATTATTTGTATCTAATGTCTCTGACAATTCTGATTTGAATTTGTTAATCGAGTTTAGTCTTTATAGTTTTTGTTCATTATTATTTATTTTATTTTGTGGTTTATTGTAATAAAAGTACGTCTTTTGAATTTAAAAAATGTGTTCCAACATACTCGAGTTCCGGGTTGAGTCCCAATCCTCGACCAGTAACTGACTAGTTGTCAAGTACTAGTCGTCGACAAATTGTCAACAATAAGTTTTGGACTGGTTTATGTATTGTTCCAAGATCGTTGTTGGAACAAACCTTTTGTAATTTTGGCATATCAAATACACGTATAGGATTTTACTTTTTTTCAAAAAAAGTAGGTAAAAACAATACAATAAGCAACCGGAGTTGCTGTGTTGAAAATTGTACAAATACTAGCAAAAAAACAGTGAAACTTATATAAAAAATTTCAGTAGCAAAGTGGAAATTAAATCAAAGAAATAAATGGATAGATATACAATAAGAAGGACAATTACCTTTATTTTTGTAATAATAACCGTAATGCTGCAAATAGTAGACATCAGAAACTTGAAAGGTTTTAAATCAACAATAAATTATCATTTTACCATGTTCTTTAATATCCCTTATTCTTAAATGTTCATTCAGCAAGGACTAGATTTCAAGATTTCTGCCTTTGATTATTATATGTGGTTGGAACGCAATTTTGTAACTTACTGATGGGAAATCAGTTTTAATCATTCATTCTATGTTTTCTTTCGAACAAAAATAAAAATATAAGTAATGATCCTTTTTTTATACATTTTATTTTTGTATTTTGACAGAATAGACTAATTCTTCAATGAAAACTTATTAGACTTAGGCAACTTCTCATACATTTTCCAGTAAATACTGTTGCCTGCCTATATTTTATTATTGATTTTTATCAATTAGGCATTCCAACGACCTGTCCAAATGGCTACCAGTGGGTAATGACAGTTTAGATATGGCAACCCTGTTGTCATGTTGTCATTAACAAGGTCAATGATACATATATAGTTATATAGATTGCTCAAAGCTGGTCGTTTGCGAGCGGCCATATTGCCTGGCAAATATTTATTAATTTGAATCGGTTTAGCAAAAATGTGTTTGAAAACCAATTTTTAGCCTTTAGATATTTAAAAAAAAATAATTGCTTACATTTTTACTTCAAGGCATACGCTTATGTTTATTTTGAAAAATATGGATAATCAATCTATGTAACTATCTATTTCATTGACCTTGTCAAATCACCAGGTCTACAAGGTTGCCATCATTTTGCAATATCATAACCCGTCAAAGCCCACTGGTAGGCATTCAGTTTGGAATGCCCAATTATACATAATTTTCTTTAATTTAAGCGATAAAAATATATAATAATAAATTAATGTTTTACTTGTTTTACAAATCCATATACTTTTATTAAAACTAACATGTATACTTTTTAATTACGAATTCTATTAAAAGTTGCATTTGTCAGTATACGCCGAAATAGTCACTGATCTGCATTATTTTACTGGATAGGATATAGCCCCCTAAAAAACGTTCCGAAAAATTGGCCGATTTGGGCAAATAATATGGCGGACTGGATGTTATTTAACATAACCTCTATTTCCATTTGTCATCACATTTGTCATTTAATTGTGTCAACAAGCTACGATGAGACGTTTTTATTGTGGAAAACAAAGTAAAAAGAGTATGAAATAAACAATAAACGTTCATTCCTGAAGACACAATATGCTTCACGTTTCCATTTTTATATTTTATTTCATAAAAAATCAAATCATGGGTGAATTTTCCCGAAGGACATCGCCCGCAAAAGGAATAGAAGAAGAATAAGAAGAAAAACTAATCAAATTATAGGTTAGGTATGTCAAATTATCCTAAATTTCAGTTCTGTGAACCCACCATAATTTGCCCAAATCGGCCAGCATTGTTGCACTTCCGGTCTCCTTGGTGGAACGGTATTTAGTATGTTAAATATAGCCTATATCCTATCCAGTAAAATAATACAGATCAGTGGAAATAGTACATTAGTATCAAAACGAATTGGCGCTGCTGTCGCGCACGGAGCGAATTGGAAGAATGCGCTAATCTAGTCCTGTTCTTCAACGGGATATGAATTTGCTTGGTTGAAAGTATCGTCCTTCATATATGAAAATCCTGTAGAAATAACGAACATTTTACATTTTTACTTTATTAGCACTTTTAATGCTCTTTGTAATAAGATATTTACTGTCAGACATTCCCTCAGTCAATACCAGATATGCTTAAAGTCGCTCCCGTAAATTACGTCTCGAATTATACAAGACCAACACCGAATAATTAAAATTGGTACCAAACAGTGCATTATATAATAGAAGAGATAATGAAAATTAAATTAAATTGATTTACTAATATTTGTTCGAAGTATTTTCTATTGGAAATTAAACCGAAATTTTACGAAAGCCCCATAGCCATTATTGAAAATATGATAATTATACTTTTTTTTTCAGTGAGTAGAACTTCTGTTCCATTTCCTTTGGCAAGTTACGAAACCGTCTTTCCTGAGTCAATTCAACACCCCGAGAGATTTTGGGCCAAAGTAGCCCAATGTATATCATGGAGCAAACCTTGGAAGAGAATATTGGATAATACATATGAACCTTTCACAAAATGGTAAGTTTGTTTTATATCTTAGCAATGTTTTTACTTACATACCACAGAGCTGGTACCGAGAATAACAACCACAGAGAAGCGACAATAACTGCCGGTCCTTTGAAGTTCGAAGAGTAAAATTAGGTGACCTTGAATTTGATTTATGAGTTGGATAAGCAGTATAAATACAAAAAGAAAAATATTGAAAATAATATTTTACCTTACTTATTGTGCATAAAATTTATATAATAGAATATTGTTTTTTATTCAGTTGTTTCTGTCATGTTAAATCTTTAAATTTGATTTTCCGAAAAATTAAAAATATATAATATATAATATACCTTTCCCGTTATTAATGATATTTATTACTCATGCGCAAATCCTACCCGAGAATACCGATCAAGGAGAATCGACAGCTTGGTGTTTTCAGTGTACCGTTTTGTAACGCGCATGTGCGAAAATAAGTTATGTATCACTCAAAATGATGTTATCTGTCAAAGTCAGTCCAAGTTGTGCTTAGTACGTGAGCAATGTTAAAGATATTTTTTGGTGTTTGTTTTGTGTAGTAATAAGATGAAGATTTTTTACACACTTAGGTATTCTAATACAGATATAAAATGTGCCAAAAAAGTTATTAGGAAACTAAGAATTTTATCACATGTATAAATATTAAGTATAATGATTTAATCATTTTTGACATTTTATTTTTCATATGTAGGTATTGGATTTTCTGAAATATATGTTTGTCTTCTTTTAAATAAATTTATTAAACAATGAACTGCAAATTTTATTTATTTTATTTTGAAATTATATTTTAAAAAATATCATAAATCCGCGTGTTTCAATTAGGATTGGTCAAAGTGGGCGAAGTCCCTTTATTATGGCTAAATTGTAAGTTACAATTATGTCAATATAAAGATGTTTTGCCCATTCATATTTATATTTATTGAATGAATCATAATGGAGTTGATTTTGGAAATATTGGTACATACTTAAATAAGTACTATTTCTAAAAATTAATCTATCCCCAGACAGCGCACATAGTCCAATGAACGTACGCTTTAGATCCATTTGAGGATCAGGATGTCCATATCCGGACATCCAGTGTACGTCCGTTTATGTTAATTAATTTGACAGCTGAATATCGATACCCAGAGAACGCCTCTTTTTGGACTTAATTTTAAGGTAAGTAGTATTTTTACGTCCAGTGGACGTCCATCCTAGGTAATTATTTATTAAGCCTACCAGATAAATCCCATCTATATACACTTCCTTTTTTTAATATAATTGGTCATTAAAAATTGACAAATTGAATCTATTACATTTCATTCTATCAGCGGAAGTTTGAAATCTTATTCCATTATAACTATATCTAGTTTTCAAGTGATTACTTGGTCGAGCTGGTCTAGCGATTGAAAGCGTAAAACGATAATGGATGTGTCGCGAGTTCGATTCCTGCTCAGGTCAAGCGATCTTTAATTAAAAAAAATAAATGGTGTATAGCGGTTTGCGAAAATAATAAACAAATTATTAATAATATAAAATAGTGTGTGTAAAATTGTATATCGAATGGACGTCCAATGGACATATTTGTATTGTCTGGATGATAGCCAGGCCAGGTATTTAACTCTAAATATATAAACCTTAAATGACATCTGGATTATCTTTGCGAGAAAACAATTTTTTCTACAGAAATGAGTACTAAACTTGAAAGTCCTTTTAATATAATATAAATCCAGAAATTCTAAAAATATGTAAGTACTTTTTAAACCTAAAAGCTTTGAAAGTATTTGCACATTGCAAATATTTAGTTAAACCTCTCAAACTTAATGTCTTTTTAATTGTTACCTAAATTTTTTTTGATACCCTTAATTTTATTTACCTTATTTTTACTTAAGGAAAAGGTAATTTAATTTTAATATGGGGCTTTTATCACATTTTTATCAATAAAAGAAACCAAATATTGAACAAATTTTATAGATAAATTATAAAATATTAAACTTCTTTTACTTTTATAAAAAATAATTACTTATTACATAATGAATTATATTTTGGTGCCGAAATTTCGCCATTGCTATTAACCCTAACTACTTCAATGTAATTAAATTACATTACAACATTTGCGCATAGACTATAACAATGATTTTAGATAATTTGCCAAACTATTTCGTTCAGTGTAGAAAATAAGCATGTTTTCTCAGCGTATTAAATTGTGTATTAATCAAAGTCATGCTGTGAAAAAGGTCCATCCGATATCAAAGGCACCGACAGGTACTGTCGCTTCTCCTTTATCGGTATTCTCGGAGCCTACTTCGTGTTAAAATTAAAAATTTGTTGTTATTTTTCTACTCTAAAACTATTTTGAAGCGATCACACTGGCAATGGGTCCTATGATTGAACGTTTATGTTATCCATAACGTACATGTCAAGTCGAATTTTAACAGTAATGAAGCAAGTTTTTATGATAGAAAACTGTTAAATTAGAACATAACAGGCGGAAAATAACAGTAATGTGTTGAAAACCGTTTTTCATCATACGAACTTGCCTAATTACTGTTAAAACTGAGCCTAACATGTACGTTACGGATAACGTAAACGTTCAATCATAGGACCCATTTTGTGTTATTTACCATTTTAAGCAAAGGATGTTGGTTTTTCTTGGCTACTTTCGATTATGTCATAATAAACCCTTTAATTATAACCGGTAAATAGTCCGGACGTGGGTTAATAATGACTGACATGCAGTTAGTGTTTTTTGGTTAGATTATAGAACTCGCTCCGTCAAATTTAAAGGTTACATTAGCTACTATACTATTATTTATGTATTATAGATATACGTAAATTATCAAAATGCTTCTGGCACCATGCAAAAAAAGTTTAAAACGGTTTCTTATTCAATTCTAACTCCAGTCTTCACATCTTATTCTTTTTTGGAATCATATCAACATCACACAATTTTATCCCGGTCAGTTTCTTAAAATCCATACCATTACTAACAAGGTAGCTAATTAAAATTTTTATATCGTTGTTTATAAGGAAAATTCGAAGAAAAACTCACTAATAATAGGTGTTAACGAAGTTTCCTCAAATTCCACTTTAAAACCAATAATAATTAACCTAGACATTAAATGTCAAAACTTCATTCCTTATTTAAAAAACGGTTTAACGTTACAGTTCATCAAATTTCTAGAGGTGTTCGACGCCCAGACAGAGAACGCGCTACGTGTGACTAAGATAGCTATTGTACAGTCTGCTAAACAAGTTATTTTAAATAGTTTTTAATATTTTTAGGTAATTAAATTTTAAAAGTGTGGAATAGTTTAGGGATTAAATTGGTCTGATTGGACTTTCTTAGAACGTTTTTAAAAGCAGCTAAAGATAGTATGTAGAATTGAAAATAATTATTATGCCATAAAAGGTGTTTTGGAATTCCTTCAACCTTTTGAAATTGAGTCAGAAAATATAAATTTTATAGGATAGCGGAAAATACCTATAATTTTTTTGTAGGCCTTTGTAAATCGTGGAAATAGTTTATATTTTATTTCTACCTTATTAAGGAAAATGGTACCTATTATTAATAACGGTTGTTTCTGAAACATTACTAAAATTTTCGAAATTTTGTTTTTCTACAAAATAATAAACTATACTATTTAGAAAAAAATTTATTTCTCTTAGAATTTTATAAAAAATAACAGGGGAATATTTACATTTCTTGATCTATTAAACAAAACGATAAATTATCTCGACGAATGACACCATGTTCTAGTACGGAAGCTAGCTTTACATTTTTGTTGGTGGTTTCATGGGTTTCATATCAATTTTTTGTAATTGTAGTTTACACGTACATATACCTCTTAACACTTGTTTGCTTTATTAAAAAAGTGTGTTGTTGTGATTTACGTCTAAATAAGTCAAAAACAACTTGAAACCCCATATAAAATCAAAAAGGAGAAACGGAAAAAAATTGAGCCTGTAAATGAACACAACTCAGAAACAAAAATAGCTATCTAATAATAAAAAAATAAAATTTGATTCTTGTGCAGCTTCATCTATATCATTAACTGTTTTTGGTTTTTTAATGGTTTTTCTTGGTGATGAAAATTCCGATATCTCACGGTTATCGATTCTTTTTTTCTCTCCAGAAATGCGGACGACAGTGTTTTTAGATACTCCTGTGGCTGCAGCAACACGATCATTTACATTTTTAAATGGTATTGAAGGTGAATTAAAGTTTCCTTCTCTTCTCATAAACTCTATAACATTGGCTATTATTTCGCGAGATTGACTGTTAATCACGCGGCCTCTTAATGTGCTATTAAACTCCATACTTGGGTGCTATTAAACTGTAATGAGCAAAAAACACAAACGAAAATAAAAGAAATGTTTTAGCGAAATTTACATCTGACATTTACGTCTGAATGAAATAGTGAAATACTTGATGCGCAGAGTGTACTTTCATTGCGTAAATCCGTCGGGATGCTTGTCAGTAGTGCTTTCTCTGTCTAGCCGTCGAAAGCCTCTAGAAATTTGATGAACTGTAATGCGTTACAATTATGAAGACTAGAGATAAGGAGGCGAATCGGCATACTCAAAATAGGGTCCCAAAAAACGCATGATAATTGAGCTTCTATAATTAACCGCATGGGCGCTGGTACTGCATCCGGTGTTTAAAATACATGGCTTCTTATGGAAATTATACATAATTTTGTCAAAGTAATAAAAATTAACTTGTTTATAGCTAAATAAAGCACAGAACACAGAACATACTGTTGTATTTATTTCTAAATTAGTCTTGCATGTTTTAATTGATAAATTATTTAATTTTATCTATATAAAATACAAATTAGGTATGTATGACCAAATTGGAAAAGGTTTCTTAAATGCTGGAATTTGATAAGTACAATTTTGTGGCAATTTTTTTTTTAATTGAACCAATATATAGTTTTAAAAGTAAAATAAAACACAGTTAACAGATTTTTTATTGTTGTAATGCAAGTATAAAGGGAGATTAGGGAATGTAC